ATTTCCAACTCAGAGAGCCAGATCCTACTGACGTGTATATGACCGGCAGTGTTGTTTTGTCTCTTCTTACTGGTCCATGAATAATTGTGCATCTCTTGATGACAGATTCAATTAATGAGGATATGGCCACATCTTCTGAAGAGGAGACAAGGGCTTTTCTTGTAGAAAAAGACTTTTCTTTTCTTTTGGATTACTTTTTTCATAGTCCACAGAAAGTGAGATTTTAGAAATATCAGTTAGGGACCGGCTCTGTGGTGTAGTAGGTTAAGTCCCTGCCTGCAGTGCCAGTTTCCATATGGGCGCCAGGTTGAGTCCTGGCCACTCCACTTCTGATCCAGCTCCCTGCTGATGGCCTGAGAAAGCAGTGGAAGGTGACCCAAGTGCTTGGGCACCTGCAACTGTGTGGAAGACCTGGAAGAGGCTCCTGGCTCCTGGCTTTGGATTGGCCCAGCTCAGCCGTTGCAAGCATTTGGGGGAGTGAACCAGTGGATGGAAAACCTTTCCCTCCCTCCCTCCCTCCCTCTCTCTCTCTCTCTCTCTCTCTCTCTCTAATTCTGCCTCTCAAATAAATAAGTAGATCTTTAAAAAAAAAAAAAAAGGGGCCGGCGCCGCGGCTCACTAGGCTAATCCTCCGCCTAGCGGCGCCGGCACACCGGGTTCTAGTCCCGGTCGGGGCGCCGGATTCTGTCCCGGTTGCCCCTCTTCCAGGCCAGCCCTCTGCTGTGACCAGGGAGTGCAGTGGAGGATGGCCCAGGTGCTTGGGCCCTGCACCCCATGGGAGACCAGGATAAGCAACCTGGCTCCTGGCTCCTGCATCAGATCAGCGTGGTGCGCCGCCCGCAGCCGCGCCGGCCCGCGCGGCCATTGGAGGGTGAACCAACGGCAAAGGAAGACCTTTCTCTCTGTCTCTCTCTCTCACTGTCCACTCTGCCTGTCAAAAAAATAAAAAAAAAAAAAAAAAGGATTATCATTTAAAATTAAGTCAATCTCATTCTAGAATGTATGGCCTTGGCTGGCCATTGTGATAAACATTCCAAAAACAGGAAAAGAATATTGGCATAATCCTTTAAAGAATTAAGTCTGATTGTAGCACTGCTCATTCCAATAGTTTCATCTCTCCAGAGTAAAATGGAATTCCTTCCAAGGATCGAGCAACCCTTAAGGATCTGTAGCCCCCCACTCGCCCACCCCCCTCTATCATCTGCTACTTCCCCTCCACTCCTGTCCTAGTTCCACTGACTCCTTGCCTTTCCCTTACCGTGGTTGTAAACTTGCTTCCACTTCAAATAGGCTGCTACCTCAGGACCTTTTCACCTCCTCTCCTCACTTCCTAGGAGCACTGTCCTACCAATCTCCTCCTTCCCTCCTTCATTGTCACCGTATCAGAGAGGTCATCCCTGACCATGCTACGTAAAACAGCAGCCCTCTGCTCCATCGCCTGCCTCTAGCTCCTTTCACATATTCTATTTTCTCCACAGCATCACTATATGAAATATTATAATCACTTTGGTCATTTACTTATTGCTTGCTACAATGCAAGTAAGCTTCAGAGGGCAGAAGCTCCATTTTATGTATTTCTGGAGCTGTATAGACCATGGGCACTCATTAAGTGAGTAAAATCCAGACAGAATCTTCCTCTGACAATGTCAGTCCACTATGTTTTCCTTCTGTGTTATTGCCTATTCAGAAAATGACATAACTTGGCATCTGTGGTTATTATTATTCATAAATCAGAAATTCTGTTCTCTACTCCATTTGGAAGATCAGCAAGGGGTGGCGCTGTACAGTAAGCGCTTCCGGTACATTCCAGATCCACATGCCTAGATCTTAACGGTGGCCCCACTGCCTACCTATGTGAGCCCTGGGTGTCATTCAGCTCCTCCCATCTTTGTCTTTCTCATCTGGAAGGTGACATTGGGAAGGTAAAAGTCAATGGTTTACTTTTGAGAATTCTTAGAAAGACTAACTTAAATCACATAGCACCTGACACATACTAAGTAATTGATAAAATATTTATTATTATTAGCAAATAATTTTGAATTAACCTCATAGGAACCCTTAAGAACAAGATGGTTCTCAACCAGGGGAAATGTTTCCTCCAAGGAGGATATTTGGCAATGCTGGAAACACTCCTGGTTGTGGTTATCGCAGCTAGGGAGAGCTATGAGGTGCTAATGGCATCTGGTAAGTAAGAAGCTAGGGACACTGCTCAGCATCCTACAGTGCGGAGGATTTCACACCCACAGCAGGGAATTATCCAGCCCAAAACATCAATAATGGCACTGATGAGAAACCTCGATAGACAACATTTGTTTCAACATGCTGCAGACTCTAATATTCCAGCAGAAGAGATTTAAAGAGGAAATGTTTAAACCACTACCTTTCTCTCCACCTCGCCTATAAAACCAGCTTAGGGGTGGGGGAGGCACTGTGGTGTAGTGGGTAAAGCCGCTGCCTGCAGTGCTGGCATCCCATATGGGTGCCAGTTCGAGCCCCAGCTGCTCCACTTCCAATCCAGCTTTTTGCTATGGCCTGGGAAAGCAAGAGAAAATGGCCCAAGTCTTTGGGGCCCTGCACCTGCATGGGAGACTCAGAAGAAGCTCCTGGCTCCTGGCTTCAGATCGGCGCAGCTCTGGCCGTTGCAGCCATCTGGAGAGACCTCTCTCTCTGCCTCTGCCTCTGCCTCTCTGTAATTCTGCCTTTCAAATAGAATGAAATAAATCTTTTCAAATTATTAAAAAGAAAAAAATAAATAGTTACAATTTTCAAAGTAACTTAAAAAAAAAAATCAGCTTAGGGATGAAAACTCTTGCTGCAAAGCCAAACAGATGCTGGCTTGCTATTGGGACCTCAGGATTCCTAGGCAATTGTCCCTGAAGATCGTGTTGGCCTTTTCAGTTCTACATCAGACCACTAGAGGGCAGAAAAACACCATCAATGATTTAGTATTTGCATGACAGCCTGGGCTTTCAGTGAGGCCAATCTTAAAATGCTAATTGTTCCTATCCCTAAAAGTCCCCAGAAAATATTTATTAAACACTTCTCTGTACACAATTCAAAAGGCTGATTCAAGCATTTCATCCTACTTTTCTTCACTTCCTAACTGTAAAGTATGCTACTAACAATGTCGTGTGTTTACATGGAGACCTAATAAATGACCAATGCCGTTAGTTATGACTATCAGGATGCCGTTAGGATGATATGATGTGATGACTATATCAGTAAAACCTTATGATTAATATCTGATTATTTTGTGAGTTAAATCATCTCAGTTATGTGATCGGACTCAAAAGGTATTAAGCAAAAAATACAGCATGAGCTGAAATGTAAAAATACACTTTTAGAATAACATTATTTTGCTGAATCCTGAGACCAATACAACCTAAAAATTAATGTTTATTTTCCTAGAAATATTGCATAAAGTTGCTTTTGAATGGCAAAAAAAATCCAATATCATCACTAAATATTTAAACTTATATCTCAATTCCCCACTTTCAGGTTTGAAATAAAGACGCTGAGAAAAGTTAAAGGAAACTTTGGAGAAAAAAAAGATTAAAGAATGATGAATGTGCTTGGGTGCTCTCCTTTTCAAATGCAATGAACGAATGTGTGGAGAAAGAGGTTGCGTAAGAGATTCCAGAAGCTGTCCTTGTGGTAGTACAAGTTGTGCACAATTATCACTAAAGATACCGTGAAATTGTTTAAAATCTATTTTGATTTTCTTTAACTTCAATACACATTCACACATACACAAAAATAAGTTTAAAAAAAAACCCTGTATTTTGTCTCAGAACTGAAGGACTGAGTGATGCTGTCAAAATCCGGTAAATAACAGGAATCAATGACTGAAAATGGCTTGAATGTCACATTAGATAACTTCAGACTTTACGAGACTGCATAAAATAGTCATTAGCTATACACACTCTGCTATCAGATTATCTGGATGTTAAAACGGCTCTACAAGTTAACAGCTTTGAAGCACTAGGGAAGTTATGTTCTACCTCTGTACCTCTATTGTTAAATAGCTGTCCGTACCATAGTATACATGAGTGAATATAGGTGTAGCATTTAGAACAGGAGTTGGCACATAATAACTCCATGTAAACGTTTTCTATAATAATTATCATTTCTTTGAATATATCAAGAAGTGATATATGAACATCCTCTATTAATGATGGCTTTTGTTTTGAAAGTGTAACTAAAATCTTTGTATTCATCAGTACAAGCAACGGATTGCACATACTGGACAACATGGGATTTGAGAAGTATTGAAAACTTGGCTCACTTTCTGAGCCATCCCACTGCAATTGTCACAGTGGAGGCGGCCCCTGATTCGTGGCCTTTCCTTTCCGTCCCCCCACGACCTGCCCTCTCCACCTAATTGTTTAGGTAAGAAGCGAGTGCAAATGAGGGAGGGAGAAAACATAACCATTCTTTTTTTTTTTTCTTTTTCCATTTCACCACCAACACAAAAGCAGGCAAGAGGGCAGTCATAATGTACAAGAGAAAACAAACAAAAACCTCTGACAGCCATTGTGAGACTCCCTTTGGAAAGGGCAAGTGTATTGATAGGATTTTTTCCCCATTTATCGGGTTCTAGAAACTTGCACTGGATGCTGTCCATGTGCTTTTCCTCCTATAAAGTCTAATTATTGTTAACTTGTAATAAGACTAGCGGCAAGAGGAAGGAGGTACGCCAAAGGCAAGAACAATGTAGGGCAAAGGCAGAATCAAAATCTTCTCATTAGTCAGCCCTGCAAGAGTTAATGCCTTGACCTGTTTCCATGGAAACAAGACCTCTAGGCCTGGGTGACAGGAATTTCAGGAACATAGAATATATCTCACTTCACACTGCATTCAACTTCAGTCAACTGCATTTCATTCAGAAAAATTTTCATTTTGAGAGAGGTAACTCCCAAATTCTTTTTTTTAACTTTTATTTAATGAATATAAATTTCCAAAGTACAGCTTATGGATTACAATGGCTCCCCCTGCCATAACTTCCCTCCCACCTGCAACCCTCCCCTTTCCCTCTCCCTCCCCCCTTCCATTCACATCAAGATTCATTTTCAATTCTCTTTATATACAGAAGATCAGTTTAGCATATATTAAGTAAAGATTTCAACAGTTTGCACCCACATAGAAACACAAAGTGAAAACTACTGTTTGAGTACTAGTTATAGCATTAAATCTCAATGTACAGCACATTAAGGACAGAGATCCTACATAAGGAGTAAGTGCATAGTGACTCCTGTTGTTGACTTAACAAATTGACACTCTTGTTTATGGCATCAGTAATCACCCTAGGCTCTTGTCATGAGTTGCCAAGGCTATGGAAGCCTTTTGAGTTCACCGACTCTGATCACATTTAGACAAGGCCATGGCCAAAGTGGAAGTTCTCTCCTCCCTTCAGAGAAAGGTACCTCCTTCTTTGATGACCTGTTCTTTTCACTGGGATTTGATTTTTTTTTTTTTTTTTTTTTTTTTTGCCAGAGTGTTTTGGCTTTCCATGCCTGTAATACTCTCATGGGCTTTTCAGCCAGATCCGCATGCCTTAAGGGCTGATTCTGAGGCCAGAGTGCTGTTTAGGACATCTGCCATTCTATGGGTCTGCTGTGTATCTCGCTTCCCATGTTGGATCGTTCTCTCCCTTTTGTATTCTATCAGCTAGTATTTGCAGACACTAGTCTTGGGTAACTCCCAAATTCTAAAAGAGCCAAATGTCAGTCGCCCAATATATTAAGGTCTAATTCCATTAGTGAAAACTCAGTAATCAGTGTCATCAGTGGTCCTACATCACATCAGTATATTATCCCACAATGGCAAGGTGAGTGACTCAGAAATGCAGAAATTAAATATGCACGAAACTAACAATAGGCACCCCAATGTTATGTTAATATTAATCCCTTAGATTTCCACATCTTTAAATTCCATTCAACAGGACCTCTCTAACTGAAAATCCCTGTAAAGTGCTGGTGTGGTGGCTTAGCATGTAGAGCCTGCAATGCTGGCATCCCATAGGGTTCAAGTCATGGCTGCTCCACTTCCAATCCAGCTCCCTGACAATGGCCTGGGGAAAGCATCGGAAAATGGCCCAAATCTTTGGGCCCCTGCACCCATGTGGGAGACCCAGATAAAGCTCCTGAACTGATGAGACTTTAAGAACAGATAAGGGGCCGGCACCACAGCTCACTAGGCTACCTGCGGCGCCGGCACACCAGGTTCTAGTCCCGGTCGGGGTGCCGGATTCTGTCCCAGTTGCCCCTCTTCCAGGCCAGCTCTCTGCTGTGGCCAGGGAGTGCAGTGGAGGATGGCCCAAGTGCTTGGGCCCTGCACCCCATGGGAGACCAGGAGAAGTACCTGGCTCCTGCCATCGGATCAGCATAGTGCGCCGGCCGCAGCGCACAGGCCGCAGAGGCCTTTGGAGGATGAACCAAAAGCAAAGGAAGACCTTTCTCTCTGTCTCTCTCTCTCTCACTGTCCACTCTGCCTGTCAAAAAACAAAATAAATTAAAAATAAATTAAAAATTGAAAAAAAGAACAGATAAGGGCCCACGTTATGGCCTAGCAGGTTAAGCTCCTGCCTGTGACACCCATCAGCATACTCTGTGAGTGCCAGTTCTAGACTCTGCTGCTCCACTTCCAGTCCCAGCTCCCTGCTCATGTGCCTAAGAAAGCAGACAATGATGACCCAAGTACTTAGGCCCCTCCCACCCACACAGGAGACCTGGATGGAGTTCCAGACTCCTGGCTTCAACCTGGCCCAGCACTGGCCCTTGTAGTCATTTACAGAGTGAATCAATGAATGGAAGATCTCTTTCTTTCTCTTTGTCTCTCTATCCCACCTTCTCTCTGACACTCTGCCTTTCAAATAAATAAATCTTAAATATGATATATATAAAATAACCAATAAATGGAATTTTAATCCTTGTCTTGCATAACTTCAGTCTAAATCCCTAATTCTCTATGCCTCCATTTTCTCGTTTGTAAAATAAAGATAATAAGAGTCCCCACCATATAAGATCACTGTGAGGAATGAATGAGTTAATATACACAAGATACTCCATGCCTGCCACATTGCCAGCACTCTCTATTGAGGGTTTGCTATAATAAAGCTAATTATTTTATTATAGTTACAGTTATTTGACGTAGCAAAATTTTATATTGCCTTTGGACATTCAGTTTTTATCTTAATTAACATTGAAAAGACCTATTTTTAATGCTCTAAGCACTAAAACATTACACTGCTGTAGTATGCATTGGTTAAACAGGAGAACAGAATGTTAGAAGGAAAAGGGAACTCAGGAGGATTTTCTCTTTTATTCATCTTGTTTCTTGGACTCTGTGCAAAGCCTTTCGCTGCATCCAGTCACAGTTTATGACAAGCCCTAATGAATGAATCAGTGGTGAACAAAACAGTTTCCTGGCCAACCAGCAGCCAAGCCCATTCATTCTAATTGTGGGACTGGATTGGAAATTACTTAGCAACCACTTGAGTAAATGATGGGGAAAAGTCTGCAGCGCAGTTTCATAATCGTAATCAAGCAAACATCATTAAAGCCTTTCTCCTGCCCATATTTCCTGAGCCCTGCTTATCTGCAAGTCATCAGAATAAACATGTCCAATTAAGGAAAACAGCGGCACCTATGCCCCGCATCATCGATGCCTACAAATACGTGGGCTCAAAGCCCTTGGGACAATGTTTGACAGATCGTTTGGCTCATGTGAAGACAAAGACAACATCACATAATGGAATGTTTTGGATCAGAACTCTTCACCAGGACATGGAGTGAGTACCTCGTGCAAGCATGTACAAAGGTATTTCAAAAAGTCCAATATGGAATTAAAGTTCATTTGGGCACTAAAAAAATGAAATCCATATACAGAAGGGGTCTTCAGCAAGTTCATGGAAATGTGTATTATGAAAAAATGGTATAAATTTCCATTATTTGCACCAAAATGAACTTACTTTGCAGATCCTTTTTTTTTTTTCATGAACCTTTTGAAGTACACTCATACAGTCATGCAACAAACATTATACCCAGTTTAGGAGAAACATGTAACTCACCTTGGAAGAATGAAGACTTCCTAAGGGAAGGAGATCGATGATGAGACACTGTTTGAAAGATGAACACAAATATGAGTCCATTGGATGATGGAGGAAGAAGGAGATTCCTGGGCAAGGGGGCAAATCATAGGCCAGTATAACCCTTAGACCCTGCATGTGTGCCACTGGTCTAGTGTTCCTGCCACCATGTCCCTCCCCATGACACAGAGCTTGTAGGACCAAAGGGTTATGTCCAACAAGACACCAACCAACCCCTTGTATTCCAGACCCTGCTCTGGAAACAGACTCCAGAAGTGCTGGCCCAATGGCCCCAAGCCCCCTGCAGGATCTGCAAGGGCTTCCTCCCCAGATCCATCCTCTCAAGGATGGGCCAAGGTGCTGTGAGCTTGCTGCTAATTAAAGTCACTATAAGAGGTGTGATGGCACCTGGGTGTGCGAGCTGGGCTGTCCACACCCACACACAAAGCCTTTTGTAGTGTGGGACAGATTGAGGGGTGGGAAGAGGAGGAGGCTGGTGGACTGAGATATTCCGGAAATATTCTCCTGATGTGCAAATCTCAAGAAGCTGAGAATTAAAAACTCAAACCTAGCTTTCCAGGTTGTTATAACGATATCTTTGTCACAGGTGAGATAGGACATTTTTATGTAACAGTGTGTTAGCTTACTGTATACATATGAAGAACTTAGAAATAGGACCTGTGACCTCCGTTTGTATTCACACAAGCCCTGCCAACGTTAGAGGTGAGCCTGCTGTGTCTGAGACATAAAGCGGACAAGCAAAGCTTATTTGGGAAACTAAAAGGAGATTGGAAAAGCTTGAGCCTACACTGTGAAGCAGAGTGCAGAAAAGTGTTTGTCTACCTAACGTTTTGAACTTATTTCTGAAAGCGGTGCGGATCACGAGGGACTTTGAGCTGGAAAGCAAGCAAGCACTGGTTTTGGAGCACTCACACCACTGTGCGTCAATCTGCACAGTTCCCAAAAGAAACACCAGATATTTTTATTCCCTTTTCTTCCCTGTGGCTCTATCTAGAAGGAGGAAAGAGAAAGAATGATGAAGTCCATTATGACCTGGGAGTTGAACGCAAAGCCTGGTGCAGGGAGAGTTACAAACATCTAGGAGGAAAAACACAGCAATCCTGGCGTTCTTTTCTGTCTGACTCAAGGAGAGGGCACCTGAAATCAAAGACCTGGAGAAGTCAAACAGCTGAGCTGGAGCTCAAGTCAAGGACAGGGCAAGGAAATAGGTCAGAGCTGAGTAAGTTACCAAAGAGCTAAGGTAGACCTAATGCACAAGACATACGGAACCCCTGGAATGAGGCTCTCTGCTCCAGCAAGCGTCATTACCCTCCTGGGTGAAGAAGCAGACTGATAATCTCTCTCCCTCTGTCCCTCCCTCCCTCCCTCCCTTCTGTATGTATGTATGTATGTGTGTGTGTATGTATTTGAGAAAAGGAGAGAACGAAAGAGCTCCCGTGTGCAGGTTCACTCCCCAAATGCCCACAAAGATCTGAGCTGGGCCAATCCAAAGCAATAAGCCAAGAACTCAGTTGAGGACTCCCACATGGCTGGCAGTGAGCCAATTACTTGAGCTATTAACAGCTACCTCCTAGGGTCTGCAATAGCAGGAAGCCAGAAGCCAGCATCCAGAGCAGGGAATCAAATCCAGGCATTCAGATATGGGATGTAGGTGTCTTTTTTTTTTTAACCTAGAAATCTTTGATTTAAGGTATATAAACTTCTTGCGTTTCATATATACAAATTTAGGAACATATTGATTCTTTTCACCCTACCCTCCCTCCTGCCCACACTCCCACCCTTCCTCCTCCCTCTCCTATTCCCATTCTTATTTTTTACAAAGATATTTTTCTAATTAACTTTATACATGTAAGATTATCCCTACACTAAGAGTTCAACAAATAGTATAAATAAAAAAAACTATTCCCCAAACAGTAGAGCAAGACAAGGGATGTCCAAAATCATAGCATCTCAAAGTATCAGTTTCACTTCTATAGATTACCTTTTAGGTACCCTGTTACCACAGATCAGAGAGAACATACGGCATTTGTCTTTTTAGGACTGGCTTATTCACTAAGTATAAATAATGGTTTCCAGTTGCATTCATTTTGTTGCAAACAACAGGATTTCATTGTTTTAACTGCTGTATACTACTCCATGATGTACATATGTCATAATTTCTGTATTCAGTCTTCAGTTCATGGACATTTGGGTTGATTCCACATCTTGGGGCTGGTGCTGTGGGATAGCAGGTAAAGCTGCCGGCTATAGTGTTGGCATCCCATATGGGCTTGAGTCCCAGTTGCTCCATTTCTGATCCAGCTGTCTGCTATGGCCTGGGAAAGTACTAGAAGATGACCCAAGTGCTTGGGTCCCTGCACCCACGTGGGAAACCCAGAAGAGGCTCCTTGCTCCTGGCTTCGGATAGGCAGAGCTCTGGCCGTTGTGGCCATTTGGGGAGTGAACCAGCAGATGGATGAAAGACCTCTCTCCCTCTCTGTCTCTGCCTCTCTATAACTCTGCCTTTCAAATAAATAAATCTTAAAAAAAATCCATATCCTAGCTATTATGAATTGAACTGCAATAAACAGGGGTATAGATCAGTCTTTCATACGCTGATTTCATTTCTAAGAGGTGTCTTAGCAAGTTTACCGAATGCCTGCCCCAACTCTCAGTTAATGACTGGCTTCCCAGAGCAAGCCCAGATGGGCTGGGCATTAGGTCTGTAGGGTTGGTCTCATAGTACTATCCACGCAAGGCTGAATCTGCCCATAATTGATGGACATCAGACAAACAGAATCTTCCTGCTGTAGATTTCTGTAGTAGAAATGCCTTAAGCTTTCTTGCCAAAAATAACCTGATTTCCTCATGGTTAATTACCCTGTCACTACTGTATGTGATGTTGGGAAACATAACACAACAACAATTTCCAACCACATTTTCCATCAACAAAACAGAGCTTCTGCTTACTGTCCCATCCCACCTTACAGCCAGGTGGTGGTGACGTAACCCAATCTAACGCTATCAAACACTCACGTGGAGACTTGAAGTTAAGAGCCAGTGAGGCAAGAATATGAGAACAGTTGGGGTACAGATGCTGCTGAGCATCTGGGGTATCCAGTAGCACTGCTGGGGGTGGAGGTGGGAAGAAAGCTGGGGTAGCCTCCAGGCCAGATGGTACCAGGAGAGTGATCTGCCAGGTGGAAGCCCATGTGGACCCTTTTCCCAAGCACACATCCATAGCCTCCTGTGAGCTCCCTCCATCGTGCCAATAAATCCCTAAGTCCTTCCACAAAACCCTCCAGCTGCCCTGATATGTCAGGAGCAGTTCTTCCCTGCACGCTGGCAAGTGAGGTTACAGCCTTGGAAGCTGCTGCTCAAAATTATTTATGAAGACACAGATTTGCAAGTAATCGCAGTTTACATTTGGAAACCCGGGGCTGCTCCAGTTTGCACTAAGTGCATTTAGCACCGTGCTACGTTATTATGCGTCTAGGCTCGCTCCTCCAACTCCAGGGTCTGTTCATGGTTACACACCCACTTGGTTATCAGCTCACTCTAGGACAGGGGTCCCCGAAGGAAGGGGAATTATTTTGTATTTCCTGGATCCCAGGGATTCCTGACAGTATGGTGAAGAGGAAGGGAATGCTGGCACAGGAGTCAATTTGCTGAGGCAGAGTGGGAATGGCCTCCTGGTCCTTCCTTCTGCACAGACCAGCTTGGCAGGAAGCAACATGAAGGCTGAGAGTGGATGGGGTGGATGTGGTGGACCAGGGCTCTAGCTACTGGTTACTGATCACATTTGTGCAGATAGGTTGCACTAAACATGTCTTTTTGAAAATTAGAGAAGCATAGGCACATAGGCGACTAGCCAGATGTGCCTATTCCTCCCCCTCTTCCTTCTGCAGTACTCACAGGAAACACATGTCTGTGTTGTCCTAAGTCCAGTTACTAATTAGCACGTTTCAGTAGCACATTTCACGGAGGATAGGGAGGATTTCAAAGGGATGCCTTCCTTTTAAGTTGAGACAGCTGGTGCTAATTACCAAGCAGGAAAAGAATGTGCAAACAGACCATGGAGAAGCCATCAGCAGAGTGGGAGGCTGAAGGGGTCTTGGGTCCTGTTGTGGAAAACCCCTGGAGGGTTAGAAGGGGCTGCTGCTTCTCCACCTTACCTCCCAGGAAACAGCTGTCCAGTTTCATCAGCTTGCAAGTAGGTGGAAGACACAGTTCACCCACATTAACTCAGAGTTCACTTCCTAGCGTGCACAGTGAGCGTGTACATTTCACAGAGCTCTGGTAGTAAACCATTTCATTCTTAAAGACATACAGCCCAAGAGAAGCCCAGCATGGCCTTTCCCTTCATACACCAACATACGGTTGACTGACTCACAGTTCATCTTTTTAATTGTTGTCCAGAAATGAGGGTAGTCCAGATACCCCAGATGACACCTGATAAGGAAAAACACCATCTGAACTCTGGTTCAATGACATCCCTTATGGAAAGAACACCAGACAGGAATTAAGAGATGTCTGACGCATTCTAATGACAAGACTTGGGGGAAAGTACACACTTTTTCTAGGCCTTGAGTTTTCATCTACAAAATGGGAACAAGGGGCTCTACCTTATAAGACTATATGAAAGTCTTAGACTATTATGGAAGTAGAGTATATATTCCATTTAAATTTCCAAGTTTGGGTAAAATGTGGGGGCATCTTGAGAATATGATTTCTAGCCAAAGCCAACCCAACTCATCCTCCCAGACCAACGGAACTATGTGAGCTCCCTGTACAGAAGGAGCTGATTATCCTGGCTTCTAAGGACACCCTGAGAAGACAGAAAGCTTGTCGTATGACTAACTGGTTCCACGATTAGGAAAAATTATACAAACAGTGCAAGAGAGCGGTTAAAGGTGAAGATTCTGGAATCACACCGCCTAGTTTCAAATGCTTCTGTGCCACTGTGCATCTGTGTGAGCCATGCAAATCACTTGACCCCAGCTGTCAATCAGGGCAACAGTCACAACACT